AAGCTCAGCGGGAGCCTCGGAGCGCTGCGGGAGGGTTCGTCCCGCTCCGCCGAGCTGCTGCGGGCGCTGCGGGCCGGGCTGGGCKCGGCGGCGCGGGAAGCGGAGCTCGGAGCCCGAGGGACGCACGAACCGGCGCTGAGGCTGCTGGCGCTGCAGCTGCGCCTGGACAACGTCTCCTCGGAGCTGGACGAGAACCAGGAGAACCTGCAGGATCTCCGCTACCACCGCGCCCACGGGCGGAACCGCACGGCCGAGCGCTTCGCGGAGCTGGAGTCGCGGCTGGAATCGCAGCAGCTGGAGCTGGCCACSATCGCCACCAACGTGGTGGCCACCGACGGGCACGTGCTGGGCATGCTGCGCTTCTTGGACGGCGTCCGCGCCTCCTGCTCCACGGGAGTCCGCGCCCACGCCCGGGAGCTGCTCCAGCTCGACAGAGCCCTCGGCGCGCTCCGTGAGGACGCGGAGGAGCTGCGGGAGCGCTCCGGGATCCTCGGCGCCCGCCTGGAGTTCGACGTGCGCAACCTCTCGGCGCTGGCGGAGGAGATGAGGGCGGTGGACGCACGGCACGGGGAGATCCTCCGGAACGTCTCCGTGCTCCGAGGTCGGCGGAAACGGGGCGTTTTCCGGGATCGGGGTGGGATCGGGGGATTCTGATCCCGAGGAGGGGGGAAATCACCGCTGTGGGGTCAGGGATGGCAGCCGGATCATCCCATGGATGATTCCCTGGGTTAGGGGTGGGATCTGGTGGGATTTCAGGAATCCTGATCCCAAGGAAGGTGGAGGAGGATCCAAACCCCCACTGGGAGGACTGGGAAGCTCAGGAAAGGACCCAGATAATCCCATGGGTGTGGGGCTGGCCCAGGGACAGCGGGGAGATCACTTTTAGGATGTGGCGGGATTTTGGGAATCCCAATCCCAAGGAAGGTGGAGGAGGATCCAAACCCCTACTGGGAGGAYGGGGAAGCTCAGGATCATCCCATGGATGCGGGGCTGGCCCAGGGACAGCAGGAAGGTCACTTTTAGGATCTGGTGGGATTTCGGGAATGCTGATCCCAAGGAAGGTGGAGGAG